AAATAACAGAAAGTCTTAAAATCCAACATTATATTTTAATTTTTATATGTAAATACATAATATTCAGTCTGTAGCCCTTCGGTTTAGACAATAATACTTAAATATTGCCTCCTAATTTGTTTTAAAAAAAAAAAAAAATTCAACATTTCTGATTTTAGGAATTGATCGTTTCATTATTTTATCATTGCAGCAACGTTGCAGAAAGAGAAGGACACACAGCTATTCCAGCTGATTTGGCTGGAATAGGTTTCCAGATGAATTTGTGGCGGATGAATAATTGTTTTAAAATGGATTTAGTAATAATGTGATTAAGTATAAATAACTTCTGAAAATATGTGATAATAGATGTGACACAAATATACATGATTTGGATTAGACAGCCTACAGCGACGTAGTGGTTAAAGACACAGAGCCCACAGACTACACACCACCAGCTCTTTGTTTTTGAGGTCATGCTGCCTGATAAGTTTCACTTTCGAAAGACAACCTTAGTTCCCTTTTTTTGCCTGGTTACTGTTAAGATGCAGCCAGCTATGAATTCCTATTGGTCAGAGAGGAGCTACTGCGCATGCGGCAGTTTCATTTACACTGTGGCGGAGTCTAAACAAAAAAGACATATTTCTTTTCCTTCTTTGTTACAGTCAGGTGTATTATCACCACCCACTGAATTCTGCTGCTGACCCACATCTCAGAAATCCAAATCTTATTAATGAGCGAGAGAGAGATAAATATATTGGATGTTGTGGCAAATCCTACTCAAAAAACAAACAAAGAATGTCAGATGAGGACAAGAGAAACAGAACTAGTAAAAAGTCTTAAAATACAAAAACATACAACTTTGTTTTTATATTCCAAATGTATAATATTATGTCTGTAACCCTTGGATTCAGACAATAATACTTAAATATTGTGGTTTTATGTGTTTTTATACATAGTTCTACATTGCTAAAGTTTTTCTCATGTTAATCATTATTAGCTTCATTTCTTTATCATTGCAACAATGTTGCAAAACCAGAAAGACAAAACGCCTTGACGAAGTGGCGCTTAAATTAGATAACAGCCTCTTTGTTTGTGTGCCAACGCTTGCAAATCAAACCAGATCCAGCTTCATAAACACAAAAACGAAACCTAACAGAGTCATCACGTGGTTTCTCAGAACAGCACAGATGGAGTGCTGTTTGAGTCCAGTGGCGGAGCTCTAACATATGGCGTTATTTTTGTGCCACTATTCTGAGCTCACGTAAAAAAAACATTTGCAGGTGCAAGTGTTGCATTTTGAGGAGAAATTTATTTTGAACGAAGAAAAACTGAATTTGAGTGAACAGAATTCATTGCTGCGTGCAGAAAATGTATTTCAGTGTTTGCTATTATTCACACACGCACAATAGCAGCCCCTTTCTCTCAGTTTTTGCATTTGCGCTCGCTCGCAATGTGTTGCTTGCACTCTCAACATTTCTGCCCGTGCAGACTCTTTCTCTACACCGTTATAGTTGTGCCACAAAACCAGCCAATCACAGACTTGGATGCAAAAAAAATCTGATTGGCTGTTTTGGTCTCCAATCAGCTCGAAATGACGAAATGCAATATCCCAGAATCCATTTCGTCCAAAGCTCAAACGAGGTAGTTGCGGAGAAACACGGCGTGGCGGAGTTTGAAATATTACTCTTTCTGGGTCACAAAATAAACTTTTAAGATATTTTCATGCCAGAATGGTGCTGTGTAAACTTCAAATATCTGCTCGATTCATCAAGACATCACATATTTGCATAAGTGCTCTAATGTTTTCGGAGATGCCTGTTACCCACCAGCTGACCGCATAGCTGGACTGGCCATTGGGCATACCGGACATTTGCCCCGTGGGCCGATGGTGATTTTTCATGTTTATGTTTATTTGTTTGTTGTATTAAAAAAAAATTAATTTACTGGCAGCCTATGGTTTGGTTAATGCCATAATAAGGACCGTAAATCATTACTGATGCATCATGAAAGTACAACCAAATCAAAATGACCTACAAACACCAGTTTTTACAAAACAATATTGTAGTTACAAAATGTAAGTTTTTTTATATAAGATGATCAGAAAAGATAAAACATTGATTCATAAATCACACACGGGCCAGCACAAGGCCAGTTGCAGACACACTGGTGCTCCTTTGCTGGCCCAGAAGAGTTTCAACTCTGGCCCCAGATGTCAGCCTAATGTGTACCTTAATTAAGCCATGTAATAAAAACATGTGCATAATAGTGCAAAAGTAATATGACAAAACTCTGTTCAGACAGTGAATGAACAGATTCTTATACAACACTTTTCACGTTCCCAGATTATTGAAAGTGGTCTATACAACATGTCACATTCACCCAACCACACACTTTCTCTAAACCGAGTGCTTCCTAACTACATTCACACTCTTGACACGCAGACTGGAGGAGCCAGGGATAAAACCGCTAACCTTCTGAGCAGTAGGTGACCTGCTCTACCTCCTGAGTTACAGCCACCCACTGGCAAAAATGAGTAAACCGTCACTAGGTTTTGTATAAAGTGTACACTACAAACCTGTCAAACCTGCATTTGGAACATTGGCTACCATAGCAGTATAGTATTGCAACATGGCATAGGAACATAAATAGCGCCATCATTGCCAGACCTGACCCACATCTGGTTGACATACACTTTGCCATGACACCAGTCAGTCAGAAGTGCCAGCTCGATGCCGGATCCGGGCCAGACCCGTTTTCTGTGAGCCTGGGCCACATACACCAAACCACAATCGGGCCAGATGTGGCATGCCATCACATAAACAGTGCCATCTATGCCAGGCTTGGCTCATATCTGGATGACATACGTCTTATCATGCCAGAAGTCAGCCAGCAGTGCTGGCTTCACACCAGATCCGGGCCAGACCTGCTTACTATGTGGGTATAGTTTTTTTATTTTGAAAATGTGCTGATTTTTAAAGCTGTTTCTCACTACATTAAATATTTCTTACAGTGACCCACTCTATGAAGTATTTCTACACTTGGGATTGTCACGGTTTGCCAGGGCAAGCCGTGGGGATGTGGGGGAAAGGAGGACCCAGAACGCTGGACTCTTCATTGCAAGCGCACGCTGCTCACGGACCCCGAGTCCCAGAGCCGGGTCCACAGGGATGATTGATGAAGTTCAGATGATTCGTTATGACAGCAGCACCAGGAGAGCTGAACCCAAACAGCAGTGGATGAACGATGCAGCAGATACACAGTACTGGGAGAGGAACACTGCGTTTTTTCCTCCATTAATAATTTAAAGCAGCGCTTCAACCAAACTGGAGGTTTGTTGATGTTTTTACTGACACATGCTGTTAATGTTTTTGTGTTTGTTTTTGCAGTACATTGAAAATTTGTCATTTAGATCACAGTGCGAACTCTTGTTTAGATGGTATTAACTTGCCTTGACCACAATGGCTTAGTCTTGAACCAAATACTCAATTAGATGGTCAAAGGAAAATTAATCAACAGCAGGTTTGATGATTAAATCATGATGAAAGTATTTCATCCAACTAAACTCCAAATATTTACAGGTTCCTGTTTTTTCTACAATTTCTCAGTTAATCGATTAAACTGTCATGGACACTGGAAAGGATTGGACTCAAGAGTGTGAGACTTAAAGGTTCAGTGACATTGTGTTCATTTACGGTGAAGGCAAAGCAGGGTTACAAACAAAAGGAATGATTGCTAGCTGTCCAGGGTGCCAGCACAAACAGATCCACAGATAGTCTCTCTCTCGAGGGAAAACTCTCTTGGAAAGTCACTCAAACAAACTCAGGATTCCTGTGCTGTACTTCTGTCGTGACCTTGTCAGTTACCTGTTAGTTACTGTTCTCAGTACTTTAACTTGTTTGTTACCGTTCCTGTTGCCACCGATTTTCAGTCCACTTCAACAATTTCAGCAAATGTGTTTGTTTGTGAGAAGCTGCTAAGAACAAATTTCTCAAAAATACAATTTAAAATGAGTTGTCTCTTTTGTTATGACACGATGCGACCACGGGAGCAGAACACACAGACATGTTTTGGACACAGTGCAGGGGTTATACTTACAGTGACACAAACAACACAATTCTGGCGCCGTGAGGAAGTGCTCGAACGGTCTACGGAAAAAGATTACTTGTGTACTTGCGCTTACTTGTCACGACCTGATTACTAGCCCGGGCTGACGAGGAGCCGGTGTTCTGGGAATCCATCCTACCTCAGCATCTCTGCGCTGGTCCAGTCGACCCGCCATCTGCACCAGGAGGGGACAAGCATCGAAGGCGTTTGGAAAGGGAGGGGGGATGAGTGTGTATCAGTGTATGTGTATGCGTTTAAAATGAATACAAATCACTCCACTGAGAAACTTAACAAGGTTTTATCCACTGAATAGAAAATAAATTATACAGTGTATACGCAACATAACATGAACTAAACCTGTCATAACATAAACATTTATAAAGACCAGATGAAACAAACCCTCCCTAAACTGGTTCATATGAAGATATTTTACTTTCAGTTTCGTTGATAACCCTAAAGGTTTACCCTAGATTTAAGTGACGCTTACTCTCAGAGTAAATCCCTATTGGCTGTGATCGAGGCTAATGGTGACGTTTCTCCTGGTTCTCCATTTTAGCGTTTTCTGGACAAGCGAACACACAAAGTCTGTTAAAGGTTTGGATGTTTATGGTCACAATGAAGGCCTTCATCTTCCTTCTTCTCCTGGGGATACAGGGGGCAGCGGCAGGTCAGTTTGACTGTTATATTTTTGTCTTTTTATATGTCAGATTTATGTAATTTGAAAGACAAATGGACGGACTGTTTGCTCCCCAGAAAGTTCCTGTACGCTAAACATTTAGTTGTAATGGATCCTAGTAGATAATGTCCATGTTTAGAAACAATCGATTATATTATACAGGTAGTTAAATCATCTGTTTGTCTCTTCAATACCTAATAATAAACATTAAAGTTTAGATGAAGGCAAAGATTAACACGAGGCGACTTATGTCCAAAACTATTTGATGATTTCCGGGTTTAAACCGTTCGTGACGCATTTTTAAGCGTTGTGGCTCTTCTGTGTTTCCAGACAGTCCAACAAATAAAACATCAGTGAGGAAGTTTGATGATAATCTGGTGACAATAATTAAAATGTTTATTTTAAAAACTAAGTACCATTTTAATTTTCATGAGGGTTTAAAACATTTTCACACAACAGCTGCTCATTAAAGTTAACTAAAGTTCATTTAAGTATCTTTATAAATATTATTTTTATTTTACTATTATTTAAAAATGATTTGTTCAATATATGAAGAGCCACATGTCATTTGATGGAATCTATTAAAAGTTAAAAGACTCCTGCGTTGTATTGTCTTCAGTATTATTCACCAGTGTTATGCTTGTGAATATTTTCTGTTTGACAAACATGCGCACACATGTCGTAACTAACGAGTAGTTACACCCGGATATGAAGTTGTTGAAGTTATTTTTCTGGTGTTATCGCTTAATTAACAGCGCAATGAGGTGACCTTTGTTGTGAGGTGTATAAATAAAATAAAATAGAATTCAACTGAACTGAATTGAGATGCAAATTAAAATCATTATTACTTAATAATATCAGATAGTTTATGTATGTAAAGTGCGAGTACACTACACATACCAGCATGAACTAATTTTGGTATCACTGCTGAATGATCAATAAGAAGCTGCAGGTGAGAAATACCAGAAATATTTTGCAATTTATAAACAATGTCCACCAGGGAGCGCTAATGAGAAGAGTTAACACAAATATTGTTGACTTTTGATAACTGAAAACTCACCTGAAAACCTGATTACAGAATAAAACATAAAATAACAATTGCTAAGATAATATTCCCCAAATAATAGTTACCTAACATTAGCTTTGGTTTTATTGATAATATTATCGATCAAAGATATTGGAAGTAAAACTTTCTGTAACAATTTTAAGCTTAAAAAAATCTATAAAAATAATATAAACAAAGAAGAAGCAACGATATGCTTCAATCAATTCATATAATTTGAAATATCAAAAATTGAAATGCAAAAGAGAACAACTCGCTTCAGAAGTCACAGATTAATAATAATATGTATTTTGTTTAACAATGAAAACAAAATAAAAATATAGTTAAATTAAAACCTATAATGAGTTCAAACCATCAATCATGAAAACTGAATTAAACCAAACTGAAGGATAAACAACAGTTTTAAAACTTTCTGTGAATAATCAGGTTCAAACTAGAATTTGAAGTTTTGAAGAAAAGAGGATCAGAAAA